GATCACCTTGCACTTATCAGGTCAAATACCATCTGGCCCTGGTCTGCCCACCTGACCAACCCATCTATATCTTTCTGTAGCCTACAACCATCTTTTACGCTATTAATTACATGACCAATCTTGGTGTCATCGGCAAATTTGCTTAACATTCCCAGTACTGACCCTTGAGATACACCACTGGACACCAGCCTCCCGTCACTCAAACAGTCTTCTACCACTACATTTTGTGTCCTATGACTAAGCTAGTTTCTGATCAATCTTGTCAAGTTTTACTCAATTACATGTGCTTTATGTCCCATCTCCCATGTGGGGGCTTTGTCAAAGCTTTGCTAAAATCCACCTAATCTACATCAACTGAACTTCCCTCATCCACACACTTGATCACATTTTCAAGAAATTCTAACAAGCTTGCTAGGCATGACGTCCTCTGACAAAGCCACGCTGACTATCCCTAATTGACCCATGGTCCAAAGATATGCAGGTTAGTTGGATCGGCCATGGTAAATTGCCTCATGGTATCCAGGGAAGTGCAGGCTAGTTGGATTATCTATAGTTAATGCGGGGTTATGAGGACAGAGTGGGAACCTGGGTCTGGGTGGGATTCTTTTCAGAGGATTGCTGCAGGCATGATGGGCCACAGGGCCTCTTTCCACATTGTAGGGATTCTATGTTGTAAACCAAGGACTTCTTGAAACTGTCTAACAGATATGAATTTTAGATGCCTATTTAGTGAGCAACATGACTGAGTCAGGGATGGAAGGCTCAAGGGAAAGCCACAGTACACTGGTGCCTTGAGGCTATTCTGTGAAAAGAGAGAGAGGTTGCTAGGCACATTAGTAAGGTAGTAGTGGGGGCGACTCAAGTTCAACGGATAGACAGTTTAGGGCTGAGATCGTGAGTCCTGGATGGTCTGTTGCCTCCCGGTGCAAGGATTCAGGACATAACTGGATAAACTTCTGGAAAGGGAGGTAAACAACTAGTGGTTGTTGTTCATGTGGGAACCAATGACAACTTGGAGGATTTGGCAGATCAATTTGAGGAGTTAGGGAATAGGTTGCAACACAGAATCTCCAGGGTAATAATCTCAGAAATACTACCAGTTCCACAAGCTTTACCATTTAGGCAAAGGCAGATCAGGGAGGTAAATGAGTGGTGAACAGGAAGGGATTTAGATTTCTGGGAAATTGGGATCACTTTTGGGAAAGGAGAAAGCTTTTCAGAACAGATGGGCTTTACCTGAGACAAAATGCAACTCATCGCCTGGCTCAGAGAGTAAATAATATAGTGAGAGTGGATTTAAACTTGTAAGGTGGGTGGGATGGGCAGGTAGGTTGACTGATGGGCCTATATTTGGAAAAGCAAATGAGGGAAGATGGGGAATGAGGAAATAAAAGTGAGCCCTTGATATCCAGGGCTCAGAGGATTTGTTGATCCTACCTTTTAACTTTATTGAATCATATTGGCCCTGTACTCTCCATATTTCTTTGTTGAATGTTCTGACACAGATTTATATAAAAAAAACCTATTCCCTATCTATTATGGCCAAATCATTTCTGACCTTATTAAAATTGACCTTTCCTCAATTTAGAACTTTGATTTCAGGCCCATCTTGTCCTTTTCCATAACAATCTTGAATCTAATTGAGTTATGATCACTGTCTGCAAAACGCTCCCCCACTGATATTTGAACCAGTTGCCCAGCTTTGTTACCTAAGATTAAGTCCAGGACTGCCCCCTTTCTTTGTAGGGCCATTTATGCTTAAAAAAAAACTCTCCTGGATGCATTTTAAGAATTACCCTACCTGTAAACCTTTCAAACTATAACTACACCAGTTATTTGAATTCCCTGCTATCTCGGCCCTATTAACCCTTACACTTCTCTTAACTTTGCCTTTGTATCTACTCTTCTATTTCTCTTGGACTATTAGGTGACCTAAAGTACACTCCTAGCAATGTGATTGCTCTCTTTTGGTTTTTAAGTTCCACCATATGGCTTCATTGGACGAACCTTCTAAGATTATACCCCACTTCATTGCTGTCATCGATCCCCTGATAAAAATTGTGGCTCTTCCTCCTCTTTTACCTCCTTCTCTGTCTCTACCTTTTTGCCTCGACTACCTTTACAGGTGGTGAGTTCCAGATTCCCTCTACTCTCTGGGTGAAAAAGTTTTTCTTTACTCAACGTCATATGTCATACCGCATGGAAACAGCCCCTTCGGTCCAACTCGTCCATACCGACCAGATATCGCAATCTGATCTAGTCCCATTTACTAGCATTTAGGCCATGACCTCTAAACCCATCCAGCTGATTTTTGAATGTTGTAATTATACCAGCTTCCACCACTTCTTCTCCAGCTCTTTTCATATACACTGCGTGAAAAGTTATCCCTTCCCCTCTCCCTTTAAACCTATGCCCTCTAGTTTTGGACTCCCCTGCCCTGGGAAAAAAGATCTTGGCTATTCACCCTTTGAATGCCCCTCATGATTTTATAAGTGTCCACAAGGTTACCTCTTAGCCTCCGACACTCCAAGAAAAAAATAGCTCCAGCCTATTCAACCTCACCCAATAGCTCAAACACTCCAATCCCAGAAACATAGAACCCCTACAGTGTGGAAACAGGCCATTCAGCCCAACGGGTTCACGCTGATCAAGCCTCCAAAGAGCATCCCACCCAGACCAGTCCCCTACCTTATCTCTGTAATGCTGCATTTCCCATGGCTTACCCACCTCGTCGCCACATTCCTGGACACTATGGGCAATTTAACATGGCCAAACCTAACCTGCACATCTTTGGACTGTGGGAGGAAACCGGAGCACCCAATAGAAACCCACACAGACACGGGGAGAATGTGCAAACTCCACACAGACAGTTGCCCGATGGTGGAATCAAACCCAGGTCCTTGGCACTGTGAGGCAGCAGTGCTAACCACTGAGCCACTCTCTTGTAAACCTTTCCTGCACCACCTCAAGTTTAACAATATTCTTCCTATAGAACGGCAACCAGTATTGAATGTAGTATTCTGAAATATTCTCACCATTATTCTCACCAATGTCCTGTACAGCTACAACATGATGTCCCAACTCCTATTCTCAATGCACTGACCAATGAAGGCATGCGTGCCAAACATCTTCTTCACTGCCTTGTCTACCTGTGACTCCAATTTCAAGGATCTATGTACCTGCACCCCTAGGTCTCTTTGGTTGGCAACACTCCCCAGCGCCCTACCATTAACTGTATAAGAACAAAGAACAAAGAAAATTACAGCACAGAAATAGGCCCTTCGGCCCTCAAAGCCTGCGCTGATCCAGATCCTCTATCTAAACCTATTTTCCAAGGATCTGTATTCCTCTGCTTCCTGCCCATTCATGTATCTGTCTAGATACATCTTAAATGACGCTATCATGCCCGCCTCTACCACCTCCGCTGGCAACGTGTTCCAGGCAGCAACCACCCTCTCCGTAAAGAACTTTCCACGCATATCTCCCTTAAAGTTTTCCCCGCTCACCTTGAAATCGTGATCTCTAGTAATTGAGTCCCCACTCTGGGAAAAAGCTTCTTGCTATCCACCCTGTCTATACCTCTCATGATTTTGTAGACCTCAATCAGGTCCCCCCTCAACCTCCATTTTTCTAATGTAATTAATCCTAATCTACTCAACCTCTCTTCATAGCTAGCACCCTCCATACCAGGCAACATCCAGGTGAACCTCCTCTGCACCCTTTCTGTCCTGCCCTTATTTGTCTTCTTCAGTTTTATTTCACTTGCTCACACAGCCGTGTCTTGTTGACTTTGCTCTGAGCTGTGTAGACATTTCCTCCCTTTCACATCTTCATTCACACCCATTTGTCATCTCAATGTTAGCAACCTCTGCCTTTGGCTTTGGGCACCCTCACCCTGTCTATAACACAAAACTAACATTTTCTAGCCTCTTTCACTTCTGAGGAAGAGTTAGATCAGATTCTCTACATTAACTGTTTCTCTCTAAACCTTTTGCTCATTATCTTAAATCTATGCCCCAGGTCTTTGATTCCTTCATCAAGGAGAAATGTTTCTTCCTGCCTACTCTATCTATGCCACTCAAACTTTTATACATCTCAATCATGTGCCATCTCAATCTTTTCTACTCCATGGAAAACAACTCCACTGTGTCCAATTGCAGATTCATGGAACTGTACAAATAATTTTTACTGGATAATTGTGCAGTTATGGATGGAATTAGAATTAGAATCCCTACAGTGTGGAAACAGGCCCTTCGGCCCAACAAGCCCACACCGAACCTCAAAGCATCCCACCCAGATCCATCCCCCATGACCAACCTAATATAGACGCTCTACCTCCCTGAACACTACAGGCAATTTAGTATGGCCAATCCGCCTAACCTGCACATCTTTGGACTGTGGGAAGAAACCGGAGCGCCCAGAGAAAACCCACGCAGACACAGGGAGAATGTGCAAACTCCACACAGACAGTCGCCCGAGGCTGGAATTGAACCCAGGTCCCTAGCGCTGTGAGGCAGCAGTGCTAACCACTGTGCCACCGTGTCACCCAATTGATGGCTCTGCCTAAAGCAGGAATATTTTTCATGACATGTTTAATAATAAGATTAGTATTTGAAGTCTAGAAGTAGCTGTATAACATATTACTTGCAATAGGGCCTTGGTATGAAAGTAAAATTAGTTTTAAGGCAAATCCTCCATTCTCAGTTTAAAATATAACTTAAAATCAGGTGTATCAGGTTTAACTGTGCATTTCAGAGAGCGATCAGGGAATTTCAAACTGAGAATGTTTATTAATGACCCTGTAAAATACAATGAAATAAAGTTTCATGTATTCTTCTCATAGATAATGTGCACATCAGGTCTATTGCAGAATGTTAGTTTCAGAATCTTAGAGGAATGGAAGTGAAATCCTGGTAGCAAAACAAGCCATTGTGAGATTTAGATAGTAAGTAATAACCAGCAAACAGCAAGCTCAAAATATGCAAAATAATTTATTGATTTCATAATTTAAATATCTTGATAATCCATTTCAGGGGATATTTTAAGGCATTTTTGAATTCTTCTCTGAATTTGCTCTGTGTTGCTGCATAAATGCAGGTGTTTGTGCAACAGCTGAGGAGCTGTAACATGTTCCCACCTTCCTGCAGAATGAACCTTGGGTTATTGCCGGTGGAGCCTGTTGAATAATTACTGTTTGTAAATCGCACATATAAGAAATTTATAACATATGTCATCCATAAAAGTAGGAAACTGCCTGAGATGGTGAAGAGCAAAATGATCGATTTTCTCCGGCTCTCCATCTCTGGGTCAATCTGATTCTCTCTGATGGTCTGCAGCCGGAGTCTCTTGCGGGCTTTATTGGCCAATACAATGTTTCTGACAGTCAGGAAATTGAGGATCAACATTATAAGGAATGGGGAACAGGGGTTTAAAATCCGGTCCACCCAGTCAAATGCTGTCCATGCAAGTTCAGTGTAAAAGCTTAACTTAATGTTGCAGTACCATGGGACACCATTAACTAGATACAATGGCTCATATACAAAGTACCACGGAAAGTTTTTCACACAGCTCACAGTACAGACTATTCCAATAACAACAGTTGCCATTTTCTTTGTGCAGTATTTTGCTTTGAAATTCTGGCAACAAATAGCTATAAATCGATCAATAGTAAAAACAACTGTTAACCAGACTGAACAATCTCTGACTATGTAGATCACAGTGATTTTAAGACTACAGACTGGAGTTGTGGAGAGGAAAAGAACTGGAAAATAAATTACACTGATCCTGTTTAATACCACCGCTGTGATAAGCACCAAGAGATCTGTGACTGCCATCCCCACTAGGTACAGTGTGATACATTTAGAGAGACCACACTTGCCACGAGATAGGATCAGAATTGTCACCAGGTTTCCTGGCAAACATAGAAGCAATTTTAAGTTTACTCAGCAAAAGTAGAAGAAATGTATGTTTTTCATTATTTTGTCACTGTCAAAAGGCAGACAAATTGTTAACATTGATTTTTAAGGAACACATTCTTAATAGGAAACACAGCTAAACATTGGTATATTGTCTACTGTTGAGAAACACTGATAATAGTATGAAATCTCAGTGCTGCACTGAAAGTGATACAGCACAGAAGAGCCCCTTCAGCCCACTGTGTCTGTGTGACCTATTTACACTCATTCCACTTTCTAGCACTTGGCCCATATGACATTTCAAGTGTTCATCCATGTCTTTTTTAAATGTCATGAGTGTTCCTGTCTCAACTACCCTCCCGGGCAGTAAATGCCAGATACCTACCACCCTCTGGGTGAAAAATATATTTCTTAAATCTCCTCCAAACCTTCACCTTAAAATTATGCCTGCTTGTTATTGACCCTTCAATGAAGGGGAACAGCTTCTTTCTATCCATTATGTCCATGCCACTATTAATCTTATACAGTGCCATCAGGTCTCTTTTCAGGCTCTGCTCTAAAGAAAACAACTCAAGCAATTCAACACAGGCAATGTCAAGGTTATATCATTTCTTGTTGGAGACAGTCATTGACTGATATAAATATTACTTACCATTTATCAGACCAAGCTAGACCTTTGCCCATATATACTGAAACACGACACTCAGGAATATGAGTCACCCTATGGTAATACTGTGTATCCATATAAAATCACTACTTCAAATTTGTTGTGAGTGACAAAAACTGCATTCTATTATTTCTGCTGGGAGGGAATGCACTTCTTTAACATTTATGCAGCATCACATCAGACAAATAACAGAAACTTGACAGTGCAGGTTGAATTGCTGGTATCAAAGCAGGGGGAATTAAGCACAAGGAATTTTCTGGAGCCAGAGGGATACAATTCAAACAATGCCATGAATTCTTCAAAATGTTTAATTTATGACAAGATCTTACCTGGAACACCAATAACTGCCAGCACAGGATAATAAATTGCATACACTAAGCCTGTTACTTGTCCATGCATTTTGAATCTGTACTTTTGGTCTCCTCTTTGGTCGCAACCTAGAGTGTTTCCGATTACTCTCTAAAACTTTGTAATGTTCAAAGGATTTCTTATTAAAGCAGCTGTAAACCCTAGAGAGACAATTAGGTTATCTTTGAAACAAACAGACTGGGTTACATCACAATAATTGTTAAATACAGTTCCATGATTTCCCTAATGAACACTGTTCTGTTTTGCTTAAAATATATTCAATTGATGCCAACTTGCTTTCCATTGAAAAGAAATCCAAGATATCATTATTAGCAAATGTTCTCAAATCCTGTAAATTTTATTTTGTAACAATGGTTTCAGAATT